TTCCCCCACCTCAGGAGCTAGGTCCTGGGAGGGCTCTGAGGAGTCCCACGAGCTGCAGGAATAAAGCTGCCACGAAGGGGCTCATTGGCATCGTGGGGGCTCAGCTCCTCCATCTCGAGTGGGCCCTGGTAACCCCCAGCCCTGACCCTGCAGAAGTGCTTTGGGGACGAGTACTACGGGGCCGTGGAGGAGGAGAAGCCACAATTTGAGGAAGAGGAAGGGCTTGAAGGTGAGATCAGCTGAGGCACTGGGCTGGGGACTGGGGACCGGGGACTGGGCCTGAAGCTGGTCCCACGCTGGCCCCACCTGTCTGTTCTCTTTGCATCCAGATGACTGGAACTGGGACACATGGGACGGGCCTGAGCAGGAGGGAGACTGGAGCCAGCAGGAGCTGCACTGTGAGGACCCCAACTTCAATGTAGGTGTCACGGGTTGGGGGAGTCCCAGGGGCCCTGACGGAGGGCTGGTGGGATCTGACCTGTGCCTCCTGCCAGATGGATGCTGACTACGACCCCAGCCAGGCGCGGAAAAAGCGTGAAGCCCCCTCGACGGGCAAGAAGAAGCGCAAGTCGCCCTTCGCCGCGGCCGTGGGGCAGGAGAAGCCTGTGTTCGAACCTGGTGAGGCCCAGGTGGGCAGGCCGTGGGTGGGCAGGGGGCTCCGCAGGGCCTGGCACAGCCCGGCAGCCTGGCTCTGTCTTGAGCAGGGGACAAGACGTTCGAGGAGTACCTGGATGAGTATTACCGGCTGGACTACGAGGACATCATCGATGACCTGCCCTGTCGCTTCAAGTACCGCACCGTGGTGCCCTGCGACTTCGGCCTCAGCACTGAGGAGGTAGGGGCCCCGGGCGGGCAGAGACACTGCAGAGGGCACCTGGTATGCCGGAGGGGTAGAGAGCTGGCCCTGACCCGGTCTCTGTTGCTCAGAAATGCCACAACATGGCAGTCTCTTCATCTAGAAAATGATAATATTTGGCTGGGTGGGGTGGCTCACGTCTTTGGGAGGCCGCAGCACTTTGGGAGGCCAGGACAGCTGAATCACCTGAGGTCAGGAGTTCGAGACCAGCCTGGCCAACATGGTGAAACTCTGTCTCTACTAAAAATATGAAAAAATTAGCCAGGTGTGGTGGCTGGCGCCTGTAGTCCCAGCTACTTGGGAGGCTGAGGCAGGAGAATCGCTTGAACTCAGGAGGCAGAGGTTGCAATGAGCTGAGATTGCACCACTGCACTCCAGCCTGGGTGACAGAGCAAAACTGTGTCTCAAAAAAAAAAAAAAGAAAAGAAAAGAAATGCTAATAGTTCTAATGACAGTACTAATAACATTACCTTGCCTCAAAGGTAACATTACTACCTTCTACAAGGTGGGGGCTTAAAATAGTGCCTCACACGTGGCACGCCCCATAAATATTACTTCTTTTTTTTGAGACATAGTCTCGTTCTGTCACCCAGGCTGGAGTGCAGTGGTGCCAACCTCCTGGGCTGAAGCGATCCTCCTACATCAGCCCCCCAGGTAGCTGGGACTACAGGCATGTGCCACCATGCCCAATTAATTTTTTTTTAAATTAAAACTATTTTTTGTATAGATGATGTTTTACCATGTTGTGCAGGCTGGTCTCGAACTCCCTGGGCTTAAACAAGCTTCCTGCTTTGGCCTCCCAAAGTGCTGGGATTCTGCATGTCAGCCACCACACCCAGCCAATATGACTTTTTATTTTTATTTTTTGATTGATTGGTTGATTGAAACAGTGTCTTGCTCTGTTGCCCAGGCGGGCATGCAGTGGTGCAAACTCAGCTCACTGCAAACTCCGCCTCCCAGGTTCAAATGATTCTCCTGCCTCAGCCTCCCCAACTAGCTGGAACTACAGGCATGTGCCATCATGCCCAATTAAGTTTTGTATTTTTAGTACTGACGAGTTTTACCATATTGGCCAGGCCGATCCCGAATTCCTGGCCACATGTGATCTGCCTGCCTCAGCCTCCCAAAGTGCTGCGATTACAAGTGTGAGCCACCAGGCCCAGCCAATATTACTTTTATTCCTGTCAGTATGTATCAGCAGCAGTCTGGCTGGTAAGACTTGGTAGCAGGGCTGGGCACACTCGCTCACACCTGTAATCCCAGTATTCTGGGAGGCTGAGGCGGGAGGATCACTTGAGCCCAGTAGTTCTGAGACTAACCTGGGCAACATAGGGAGATCTAGTCCTAGCTACTTGGGAGGCTGAGGCAGGAAGGTTGCTTGAGTCCGGGAGGTTGAGGCTGCTGTGAGCTGTGAGTCTGCCACTGCACTCCAGCCTGGGTGACACAGTGAGACCCTGTCTCAACAAAAGACTTGGTGTCCTCTGGAACCAGAGGGCCCAGGTGGGTTCGAGCCCTGGCTTGGCTACTCACCAGCTGTGTCTTTGGACAAGTGATTCCCCCATCTGTGCCTCAACTCCCCATCTGCAAAATGAGACAGTAATTAATAACACCCCAACTTTGGTGACTATGGAAGGAACAGAAATGAGACCAAAGTGTGTGGCACTGCCAGGCTGCAGGCACCTACTATCCCTGACTGATGACAGCTGAAGGTGCATGACCGTTTTCATGGTCAGTAAAAATAGCTGATGTGTACTGAGCTTATACCATCGGCATTCACTCACTTCCTGTTTCTGATGCCCTTCCAGTAGGTTTGGAAACAGGCCTGGAGGCTGAGAATGACAGCCTCATATGTAACTAGGAAGCCTGGGGGTTGGCAGTGACCCCTGCCCATTCTGAGGCCATGGCTGGGTATGGGTGACGGCTCAAAGGCCCTGAGGCTCAAACTGGAATCAATTCAGCCAACTTCCCAGCCACGTGGCCTAGGGCAAGGATCCATTCTCTGAGCCTCAGTTACCCCATCTGCTGACCTCTACAAAAAACAATGGCCTCTGTAGAGATCAGCTATCTCTGGCCATCATGGCAGCCCTGCTGGGTGGTAGCAGCATTACCGGTTTGACTAATGCCGTGACTTAGGCTCAGGGAAGACCCCGCCTGGGGAATATCACAGCAGGTCCCCACTCTCCCTTCCACGCAGATCCTTGCTGCTGACGATAAGGAGCTGAACCGGTGGTGCTCCCTGAAGAAGACCTGCATGTACAGGTGATGGAGTGGGTGGGGCCAGGTGCCCAGGGGGCGGGGTGGGGCCAGGTGTGCTGAGGGCAGCGTGGGCAACTCCGGGTACTTCCCAGAGCACCTAACACAGGGGCATCTGACTGCAGGTCAGAGCAGGAGGAGCTGCGGGACAAGCGGGCATACAGCCAGAAGGCCCAGAACTCATGGAAAAAGCGGCAGGTCTTCAAGTCACTCTGCCGAGAAGAGTAAGCAGTGCTGGCTGGGGAAGCGTGGGTGGGGAGCCCGCCACGCCCAGGCTTGAGTCTTGGCTCTGTCAGCCTCTTGTTGCATGACTTTGGGAATGCAGCGCCCCCCGCTCTGAGACCTGGGTTCGAATCCTACATGGGCACCATCATTGTGTGACCTTGGGCAAGTCGCTACCCCTCTCTGGGCCTCTTTCTCCTAAGATGGAGATAGAGACGGTTCTGCCTTATCAGGTTGCCGAGGATGAAATGAGTTAATTCTCGTAAAATTTTTAAGATGGGGTAAATGCCCCATAGGTCTTAGCTGTTATTAGGACTGCTTTCACCCAGTCTAGAAGGCAGGGGTGATAGGAACACAGTTTATTTAAAGCTAAAATGAGGCCAGGTTGTGCTCCAATCTATAATCCCAGCACTTTGGAAGACTCAAGCAGAAGACTGCTTGAACCCAGGAGTTGGCGGCTGCAGTGAGCTGTGGTAACGCCACTGCACTCCAGCCTGGGCCACAGAGCAAGACCCTGTGTCTAAGGGAAAAAAAGCTAAAATGAGTTAATTGATGTGACTAGGTTAGGGCAGGCCCGGCACAAATACCAGAATCCTCAGCCTCACAATCTAGCCTTTGGGTTCCGTAGAGAAGCCCTGGCTTTGGCCTGAGACGCAGGTCTGAATCCCAGGCAGGCCCTCGGTTGCTGCGCGGCCGCTTCACTATGCCCCTCTGTTCCTTGCCTGTAAAATGGGGCATGCGTCCTCAGGAACGGGCCTGATCTTGACAGGCCTGGGCTGAGCCCTGACTTTTCTCCCTCAGAGCAGAGATGCCCGCGGAAGCCACAGGGAAGCCACAGAGAGACGGAGCCGGCCCACAGAAGCAGCTGCCAGCGCTTGATGGGGCTGGCGGGAAGCGGCCCCGGCCGGAGAGTCCCCCAGCACAGGAAGAGGAGGCCCCTGTATCACCCCACAAGAAGCCAGCCCCCCAGAGGCGAAGGAGGGCCAAGAAGGCACGGCTGCTGGGCCCCACTGTGATGCTTGGTGGACGCGAGTTCAGCCGCCAGAGACTGCAGGCCTTTGGCCTCAACCCCAAACGGCTGTACTTCCGCCAGCTGGGCCAGCAGCGGAGGAAACAACAGGGGCCCAAGAACAGCTCCTGAGCACTGGGAGCAGGCAGGGGCCTCAGGCTCCTCCCCTCAAATCAAGCCCTGGACAGGTCTCGCACCCACAAGTACCATCTGCTGCAGAGAACCTCTCATCTATGGCCAGGAACACCTGTAATCCCAGCACTTTGGGAGGCTGAGGTGAAAGGATTACTTGAGCCCAGGAACTGGAGACCAGCCTGGGCAACACAGTGAGACTCCATCTCTACAAAATGTGGTGGCATATGCCTGTAGACCCAGCTATTCAGGAGGCTGGGGAAGGAGGATCACTTAAGGCCAGGAATTTGAGGCTGCAGTGAACTATGATTGCACCACTGCACTCCAGCCTGGACGACAAAGCAAGACCCTGTCTCTTTAAAAAAAAAAAAAAATTAAACACGTGTAGCTGCGGGTAAGGAAGTCCTCCCATTTTATGGATGTGGAAACTGAGGCTGACTTAAACTTCCCGTGACTTGGAACTCTTATCTCGAGACACCTCCCAGACCTCACATCCCCTTAGAACGCTGCGCCCAGCCACAGCCACGATCAAGTCACACAACTTTATTGGCCCCCAGCAGCCACAGTTCCCCCCCCTCAAGGGGGCTTTGGGACAGGGAGGGCCCAGGCATCCAGTGCAAACTACAGTACGTGAGTCAGGCCCTGAGGGGGGTGCCCGGGGTCCTCCCTCCCTACCCTGCCAGGAGGGCCCCGCTGGTGGGAGACAGGTGCATGGGCTCTGTCCCTGGCTGAATGGCCCCAGACTGGTTGCAGCTGGGCTTGAGGGGCTGAGAACAGGAAGTTCTCACTGCCAGAGCTCAAGATCCCACACTCGACATGACATAAATAAAAAAATAAATAGTGTTGCATCTTTTCCCTCATCCCCTCCCTTTATAAAAACACAAAGTCCTCAGAGCTGGGGCGTTTGGCCCTGAGGAGCCGCCCTGTGCGAGGGAGCCGGAGTGTAGGCTGGGAGAGCTGGGAGCAGAGGTCGTCCAGGCTGTGGTCCTGAGCATGGCCCTCGGCCAGGGTGAACATGGGGTACCGCTCCGTGGCTGAGGAGGAGCTGAGGACCTGGCGGGAGGAGGGAGACAGGCTCAGCCACAAACAGTGCCAAGCCATGTTCCTTAGCCCAGGTTTATTTAGCAGGTGCTTCTCAGGACCGCCTCTCCAAGACAGGGCAGCCAATCAGCACCCTCCATCCCCTGGCCACAGTGATTGGCTCAGCCATGAGCATGTGACCCAGCTCGGCCAAAGACTGACAGTCATGGGATTTTTCCTGCAAAACCCACGTTCCCCTTCCAGTGACCCAGAAGGGTTGGTGGCCATCTCTTGCCCCCATAAGGGTAGAGCCCTGGTCGGACAGCAGGGCCAAGAGACAGAGGTTTCCTACCACTTGAGCCCCTGGATACAGCTGCCTCCAAGGGGTGACGCCCTCAACTCGCAGGACGGCCTTGACTTAACAGTTGGCTTTGGCGTTCCCACCTTTTCAGGGGTGGACCCCCAGCCTGGAAGCAGCACCCCAGCTCTGCTGGACTCGAGGCCTCTGTTTCTCTTTCACCCCCAGCCCTGCCCAACCGCCCCCCTCACCCCACTCCAGCTTTCCTCCTGCTCACCCTGGTCAGCTCTGAGCAGAGTGTCTCAAACTCCTTCCTGTCTCCAGCATAGAAGCCCACAGTACAGCTTGGGTCCATCTTGGCGAAGGCCATCTTGCGGGGCGAGGTGCAGTGGAAGGACTGGGGCAGACAGATGAGGGAGGCTCAGAGGCCCCTGCCGCCCACCTGCCACGGCCCCAACCACACACTGGGGCTCCCACTCACCTCCAGGGGGAAGTCGGCCTGACTGACATCCACAGTGGGCTGGCAGTAGTGAGGGTCCAGGTACAGCAGGAAGTCATCTGCAGGGGGTGCAGGTGTGAGTGGGGGTGCGGTGGGGCGTGGGGGGAGTGAGGAGGGGGTGGGCCTACCTTGGTAGCCAATGAAGTACAGTGAGTGTCGCGGTTTCCCGCCCATGATGCCCAGGCACAGCTCGCAGCGCAGAAGTTCCTGCAGGGAGGAGGGTGGGCAGGTGCTGTCAGGCAGCCACTCAACAAACGCTTAGCAAACGCCTCCTCCGTTGAGAACCCAGCCTCTGGAGGGCAGCAGTGATCAAGACCACAAAACCCTTGCCCTCAGGAGTTGACATCCTAGTGTGAGAGACTAACAAGGAAGACGATTACATGATTTTTTTTTTTTTGAGACAGAGTCTCACTCTGTTACCCACCCTGGAGTGCAGTGGCCCAATCGGCTCACTGCAGTCTCCGCCTCCTAAGTTCTCCTGCCTCAGCTTCTCAAGTAGCTGGGATTATAGGCACCTGCCACCATGCCCGGGTAATTTTTTGATTTTTAATAAAAACGGGGTTTCACCATGTTAGCCAGGCTGGTCTGGAACTCCTAACCTCAGGTGATCTGCCTGCCTCTGCCTCCCAAAGTGCTGGGATTGCAGGCTGAATTGTGGTAGCACGATCTTGGCTCACTGCAACCTCCACCTCCTGTGTTCAAGCAGTTCTCCTGCCTCAGCCTCCCAAATAGCTGGGATTACAGGCACCCGCCGCCACGCCCAGCTAATTTTTGTATTTTTAGTAGAGACGAAGTTTCACCATGTTGGCCAGACTGGTCTTGAACTCCTGACCTCAGGTGATCCACCTGCCTCGGCCTCCCAAAGTGCTGGGATTACAGGCATGGGCCTCGATGCCCAGTCAATTACGTGATGTATCTCATGTGTTAGAGGTGATTAACTATATGGAAAAGAATAAAAGAGGGAAGGGAGCCTTGTGATTTTAAGTAAGGAGGTCAAACATTATCACTCTTTTAGAATTTGTCTCATAGGTTTTCTGGTTCTCACTGGAAAACCTCCCATGCAAAAAATATTTTTTTTTTTTTTTTTTTTTGAGACGGAGTCTCGCTCTGTCACCCAGGCTGGAGTGCAGTGGCACAATCTCAGCGCACTGCAAGCTCCGCCTCCCAGGTTCACACCATTCTCCTGCCTCAGCCTCCCGAGTAGTTGGGACTACAGGCGCCCGCCACCGCGCCCAGCTAATTTTTTCTATTTTTAGTAGAGACGGGGTTTCACCATGGTCTTGATCTCCTGACCTTGTGATCCGCCCGCCTCGGCCTCCCAAAGTGCTGGGATTACAGGCGTGAGCCACCGCGCCCGGCCGCAAAAAATATTTTAAAACAGGAGCCAAGCAATGGTTCATGTCTGTAATCTCAGTACTTTGGGAGGCCGAAGTAGGAGGATCACTTGAGCCCAGAAGTTCAAGACCAGCCCGGGCAACATGGTATGACCCTGTCTCTACAAAAAAAAAAAAAAAAAAAAAAAAAATGAGCTGAGTGTGGTGGTACATGCGCCTGTAGTCCCAGCTACTCAGGAGCTGAAGTGAGAGGATCACTTGAGCCGGGGAGGTCAAGGCTGCAATAAGGTGAGATCGTACCACTGCACTCCAGTGTGGCTAACAGAGACTCTGAATCAATCAATCATAAATAAGAGAGTCAGGATATGCCCTACTGAGAGATGATGGAAACAGCTGAAGGATTTCTTTTGATGGTTAGTGTTAGTAAAATAAATGAACAAATATTTAAATAACTAATAAAAAATACAAAAGGAGTCGGGCGCGGTGGCTCACGCCTGTAATCCCAGCACTTTGGGAGGCCGAGGCGGGAGGATCACAAGGTCAGGAGATTGAGACCATCCTGGTTAACACAGTGAAACCCCCATCTCTACTAAAAATACAAAAATGAGCCAGGAGTGGTGGCAGGCGCCTGTAGTCCCAGCTACTCGGGAGGCTGAGGCAGGAGAATGGTGTGAACCCAGGAGGTGGAGCTTGCAGTGAGCCGAGATTGTGCCACTGTACTCCAGTCTGAGTGACAGAGCGAGACTCCGTCTCAAAAAAAACAAAAACCACACACACACACACAAAAGGAGCCACCTGCATCGCTGCTGAAAGAGCACTCCAAGCAGCAGGGGCAGCAAGTGCAAAGGCCCTGAGGCAGGAGTGTCTGAAACAGGTGAGGAGGCCTCTGTGGCTGGAGCAGAGTGTGGGAGAAGGATATGAGGTCAAGGCGGGAGATGACCTTAAGAAGGTGATGGGGACAAATAGTGCCAGGCTCTGTGGGTCACTGGGAAAACTGGCTTTTATTCAGATGCAAATACACAGGGGACTTTCCAGTCTCAGGGTCTCTGTCTTGTTGTTCCTCTTGCCTGGAGCACTTCTCCTCTGGCTCCTCATTTGCCTGGTGGCTGCAGAGGGGTTTTTCTAGGCTCTGCTGCTACCCTCATCTGCCCTTCATTGGGTTACTGTGTTTTTAAATTTGTGTAGAGGCTGGGCGCGGTGGCTCATGCCTGTAATCCCAACGCTTTGGGAGACCGAAGTGTGTGGATCACCTGAGGTCGGGAGTTCGAGACCAGTCTGGCCAACGTGGGAAAACCCCATCTCTGCTAAAAATACAAAAATTAGCCAGGCATGGTGGCACACGCCTGTAATCCCAGCTACTTGGGAGGCTGAGGCAGGAGATTTGCTTGAACCTGGGAGGCGGAGGTTGCAGTCAGCCAAGATGGTGCCACTGCACTCCAGCATGGGCAAGAGAGCGAGACTCTGTTTTCAAAAAAAATTGTGTAGAGATGGGGGTCTCACTATGTTGCCCAGGCTGGTCTTAAAAGATCCTCCTGCCTCGGCCTCCCAAAGTGCTGGGATTACAGGTGTGAGTCACTGTGCCTGGCTTCATTCCAAGTGGTGATGCCACTTTGGTTACAGAGCCACTGCTGAGCATCCTCCCATCAGAATGTCTGCTCCTAGCGGGCACACTCCAAATTCCTGCCTGTTTTGTCCCCCTCTCTGAACCCCCAGCAGTCGGGACAGTGGGGAGCACACATAGCAGGTGCTCCATAGTATCAAAAAAGAAGGGATGGACCGGGCGCAGGGGCTCATGCCTGTAATCCCAGCACTTTAGGAGGCTGAGGCAAGTGGATCACCTGAGGTCAGGAGTTCGAGGCCAGCCTGGCCAACATGGCGAAACCCCATCTCTATTAAAAATACAAAAGTTAGCCAGGCATGGTGGCACGTGCCTGTAGTCCCAGCTACCTGGGAGACCGAGGCAGGAGAATTGCTTGAACTCGGGAGGCGGAGGTTGCAATGAGCCAAGATTGCACCACTACACTCCAGTTTGGCTGAAAGAGCAAGACTCTGTCTCAAAAAAAAAAAAGGATGGCCGGTGCGGTGTGCCTCATGCCTGTAATCCCAGCACTTTGGGAGGCCGAGGAGGGCAGATGACCTGAGGTCAGGAATTCAAGATCAGCCTGACCAAAATGGTGAAACCCCGTCTCTACTAAAAGTACAAAATTAGGTGGGTGTGGTGGCGCTTGCCTGTAATCCTAACTACTTGGGAGGCTGAGGCAAGAGAATCGCTTGAACCCAGGAGGCGGAGGTTGCGGTGAGCTGAGATCACGTTATTGCATTCCAGCCTAGGCAACAAGAGCAAAACTCCATCTCAAAAAAAAAAGAAAAAAGAAAAAAAGAGAAGGATGAGGGCCGCATAAACAGCAGCCCCAACCCAAACTAAACAAGTCTGGAGGGCTCCCAGGTGGAGGCGTCCTAGAATTCAGCTGAACCTACCTTCACACAGGGCACATACACAGGGTTGAGAGTCTCGCCACCCAGTCTCACGGGCACCAGGATGACCACAGACTTCCACTCGGCTGTGGGGTCTGGCCTGGCCACCAGGCGTGCCACATCCGCCTTGTACACTGGAGGGACGGGACGGCAGCAGGTCACCTTCTTGCCACCCTTCAGGCCCCAGTGTGGCCCTCTAACCCCAGGGACTCAACTTCGCCCTTGCAATTTCTCAGTGGGCAACACTGTCATCACTAATCATCGTTCTAGTGCCCCCCAAACGCCCCCAGAAAATCCCAGGACCTCCAGGCAGGTGTGGACATCCCCATTTTACAGAATGGGCAACTGAGGCCCTGGGATGTAGACCAAAAGTATATACAGTGGAAAGAGGTAGAGACTGTTCTCTCAAGCTCCTCCCCAGCCCCAGGCCTGACAGGTCCTCAGTGACTCCATGCCTTGGTTTGCCAATACAGAAACTGGAGCACTGGGCACTCGGCCCCCAAACCAAACATCCTGGTGTGTCCCTCCTCCTCTAGTCCCGTTTACTTGGGCCCATTCTCCTGCCCCCTGCCTTGCAGCTACGTAAGCCCATTTCGTGCTCCTAGAGAAGTAGATTAGACCCGTTTTGGAGATGCGGTTCTCTGAAAATCGAATCTTGTCCCAAACACCTACAATCTTGTATAAAAAATTTACAGGGGTGGCCGGGCATGGTGGCTCATGCTTGTAATCCCAGCACTTTGGGAGGCTGAGGCAGGCGGATCGCGAGGTCAGGGGATCAAGACCGTTCTGGCTAACATAGTGAAACCCCGTCTTTACTAAAAATACCAAAAAAAAAAAAAAAAAAAAAAAAAATTAGCCGGGCATGGTGGCATGCTCCTGTAGTCCCAGCTACTCAGGAGGCTGAGGCAGAAGAATCACTTGAACCCAGGAGGCGGAGGTTGTAGTGAGCCAAGATTGTACCACTACACTCCAGCTTGGGTGACAAAGTGAGACCCTGTCTCCAAAAAAAAAAAAAAAAAAAAAAAATTTTACAGGGGCTCGGCACAGTGGCTCAAGCTTGTAATCCCAGCACTTTGGGAGGCCGAGGTGGGCAGATCACCTGAGGTCAGGAGTTCAAGACCAGCCTTGTCAACATGGTAAAACCCCGTCTCTACTAAAAATAGAAAAATTACCCTGGTATGGTGGTGTGTGTCTGTAGTTCCAGCTACTCGGGAGGCTGAGGCAGGAGAATCACTTGAACCCGGGAGGCAGAGGTTGCAGTGGGCCGAGATCGTGCCACTGCACTCAAGCCTAGGTGACAGAGTGACCTGACCTCAGGTGATCCACCCGCCTTGGCATCCCAAAGTGGTAGGATTATAGGTGTGAGCCACTGTGCCGGGCCTTTTTTTTTTTTTTTTAAATTTTATGCCAGGATCCTACTCTGTCGCCCAGGCTGGAGTGCAATGGCATAATCACAGCTCACTGTAACCTCGAACTCCTGGGCTCAAGCAATCCTCCCACCTCAGCCTCCTGAGTAGCTGGGACTACAGTATGTGCCACCATACCTGGCCTTATGTCTCTATTCTACCACTCGAGAAGCCCTTAAAGTTTCTTGTTCCAGACGGAGAGATGGAGAAGAGGGACTATCTCCTGCTGCATGGGCCTTGCATCCTTCCCCAGTGTCCCTCTGCCCCAGAACTTGTTCCAGCCTCTGAGGAAGATGAACTCTAAGAATCGGGCGAGGCAGAGTCTGGCTCAGGGTGGGACCCCCGTGATCTTGGCTCCAGCCCCTTACCTGTGCAGTCCTGAGAAACGTACACCACCAGGCGGGTGACCTCGGAGCAGCTCTCCACGGCTTTCCTGGGGGCAGGAGGGAAGGTCTGAGTGCCTGCGGGTACCCAGCAACTCCCGTGATCCCTGCAGCGGCCCTCACCTGAGGATGTGTGCCACCAGCGATGGCCCATACCAGTCACCTGCCTTCTTGCCTGAGCTCTGCCCAAGCTCCACCAGCCGGTGTAGGCCAAAGGGGGCCCGGGGGTGGTCGGCGAACCAGGACACAATCTGCCGGTGCCGGCGTTCCTGCTCCAGCTCAGGGGCACCCTGGGCCCAGCGTGGGGGCATCCAGCGGGCAGGCCCATGGTACCGGCTGGGAGAGGCTGACCCTGACAGCTCAGGGGGGCCCAGGCCCGTGCCCTCGGCCCATGTCCAGTCTGGTGGAATGGAGCACACAGTCAAACAGTGCTAGTGTGTGGGGGGCAGAGGTCCCATCTACACATGCACCGCACACAATGCGAATGCTCCTGAACCCCGTAATTCAACAGAATTTACATATTCCTGAAACTTATACTTATCCTTATTTATTTATTTACTTTTTGTTACTTAAAGACAGGATCTCAGCCAGACATGGTGGCTCACGCCTGTAATCCCAGCACTTTGGCAGACGGATCACTTGAGGCCAGGAGTTCAAGACCAGCCTGGTCAACATGGTGAAACCCCTTCTCTAATAAAAAAAACCATACAAAAGGTAGCCAAGCATGGTGGCAGGCACCTGTAATCCCAGCTACTCAGGAGGCTGAGGCAGGAGAATTGCTTGAACCTGAGAGGCAGAGGTTGCAGTGAGCCGAGATCTCTCCACTGCACTTCATCCAGGATGATGGAGGAAAACTCAGTCTCAAAAATAATAGTAATAATAATAAATAAAATAAATAAATAAAGACAGGATCTCACTGTCATCCAGACTGGAGTGCAGTGGCACGATCACGGCTCACTACGGCCTCTAAATCCTGAGCTCAACAGATTTTCCCACCTCAGCCTCCTGAGTAGTTGGGATCACAGGCACATGCCACCACACTTGGCCAATTTTTAAAATTTTTTTGTAGAGACAGTAGTCTTGTCATGTTGCCTAGGCTGTGTCGAACGCCTGTGCTCAAGTGATCCTCCTGCCTTAGCTTACTAATGTGCCGGGCTTACAGGCATGAGCCACCACACTCGACCTGTTATTGCTGTTGGAGTCTCATTCTGTCACTTAGGTTGGAGTGCAGTGGCAGGATCATAGTTCACTGCAGGCTTGAACACCTGGGCACAAGCAATCCTCCCACCTCAGCCTCCCAGGTAGCTGGGATTACAAGCATGCACCACAGTGCCCGGCCAAAACACTTTTTTTTTTTTTTTTTTTTTGAGATGGAGTCTCGCTCTGCTGCCCGGGCTGGAGTACAGTAGCACAGATCTTGGCTCACTGCAACCTCCACCTCCCCGGTTCAAGCAATTCTCTGCTTCAGCCTCCCAAATTACAGGTGCCCACCACCACACCCAGCTAATTTTTGTATTTTTAGTAGAGATGGGGTTTCACCATCTTGGCAGACTGGTTTTGAACTCCTGACCTCATGATCCACCCGCCTCAGCCTCCCAAAGTGCTGGGATTACAGGCGTGAGCCACCGTGCCCGGTGAAACTTTTTTTTTTTTTTTTTTTAAACACAGAGTCTCCCTCTGTTGCCCAGGCTGGAGTGCAGTGGTGTGATCTCAGCTCGCTGCAACCTCTGCCTCCTGGGTTCAAGCGATTCTCCCACCTCAGCCTCCTGGGATTACAGGCACGAGCCACCACAACCGGTCAATGTTTGTATTTTTAGTAGAGATAGGGTTTCATCATATTGGCCAGGCTGGTCTTGAACTCCTGACCTCAAGGCATCCATCTGCCTCAGCCTCCCAAAGTGCTAAGATTACAGGCATGAGCCACCGTTTGGGCTGAAACCCTTATAAACAACTCTCATCTCTCCAAAATTTACTTGACACACAATTCTAACGTGACTTTGAACTCTTAGTTTGCAAGTAATTCTAATACTGCTGATATGGCGGTTGACCCTGTACTCCGAGTGCACCCCTTCCCTGCCATGGCTCACCTCTGGGCAGGAAATGTAGCAGCAGGCCCTGTGCCAGCATCATCTGGCCACTGCGTAACATGCACCCCCAGCCACAGTCCGAGGTCAGGCAGCCCCCAGGAAGGGGTGGGAAGTCTCGGCGGTATGTGAGCCACAGGCGGGACACAAAGTCCCGCTGGAAACGCTGTATGTCACCTACAAGAGCGGGTCTGTCAGCTGCCACCAGGGACACTCGGGCGGGCCTGGAGAGGCCTCCCCCAACCCAGGTCCCAACCACCAGCTCACCCTCGCCCTCGAAACGGTAGCGGCGGCCACAGAGGTGGATGCTGGAGATCTTGCTAAAGCTGGTCCGGCTTTTAACCGCCCAACCTGGGGAGACGTAGGGGCAGCGCCCAGCGAGATGAAGCACTTGCATGACAGCAACAGCGCTTCCATTCCCCCATCTGTGAAATGGGCACGATCCTAGTTCCTATCTCCGGGGTGGCTCTGGGGACTCCGTGCAACAGCCCTCTAAGTCGGAGGTGGGGCCCCCAGTGACAGTTACAGGAGTGTCCACCATCAATTCAGGATGAAGGAAGGCAGTTCTGATTACTGTACCCATTTTACAGAGAGGGGCAAAAACGGAGGCGCCAAGAATGAAAGGATCTTGCCCAAGGTCACACAGGGGAATGGGCGGAGCTTGAAAACACTGTCTATTGGACCTGCCACAGGTCTACCCTGGGCAGGGCAGGGAGGGGACCCACAGGTGACTCAGGACGGGAACAAGGGTGGGATAACTGGCAGGACCGGGATCTGGTTTTCCTCAAAGGCCCCCGACACCTCCACGATCTCCGGGCCCCTTCCTCACCGTACTTGACGTTGTTCCAGGCTGTCAGGAACTTGGCCTTGAACTTGTCCACTTCGTCCGGCTCACTCGGGCCAGCCCCGGGAGAGCTAAGAGCGAGGCCGCTGGCTCCGGAGGGCCCCAGACCGTTGGGGTCTGGGCCTCGGGGACCCCGCGCCCTGCGGGCCTCGGGCCGGCGGCGCGCGTCCTCCGGGCTGCTGCTCCGGTACTGCGCGGCGGCCGGCGACACTGAGTTCATGGACGCGCCGGGAGGGCGGACCGAGGGCCCGGGTGGGGGCCTGTGGTCGCTGCCCCCCAAGGGCGACCCGCGGCCGGTTCACGGGGCCCTGGGAAGGCGCTACGCGGCCCGCGTCCTCAGGGTCCCGGGCCCGGCACCAGCCGCCACTTCAGCAGCCGTAGCCATCGCCATCTTAGCGCGCCAGGACCCCGGATGACGGTGGGCGTGACCAAGCCAGATGGCCCGCCCCTCCCCGCCCTCTCCCCGCCCCAGCCGCCTTTCCTGCCCCGATCCTGGGTGGCCAGCCGGGGACCTCAAACCCCGACGCCTCCCCGCGGCCTCCCCACGCCCTCCTTATCACACCGTCAGGAGCGCGACAGTCCCTTCAGGCCCTTATCGGAGGCAGCAGAGCTGGGGAGCCCCCGCCCCGGCCCCGCCCCTAGGTCCAGGACTGACCTGGCAGGCGCCCAGGTGAGACTGCGCACCTGCCGCGCCCGCCCCGCCACCCGAGCGCACCTGCACGGGCTGCGGACCCAGAACCAGCCCTGGGCTGGGACCAAATCGACTAGTGTGACCTCCGGGGCAAGTCACGCCGCTGTGCCTCAGTTTCCTCATGTGCAAAATAGGGCTGGAATACACGCAACAACATAGACGAATCTTCATGAGAATTATGCTCAGGGAAAAAAATCCACGGGTAGGCAGGCGCGGGAGGGAGGGATGAATAAAGTGCGCCAGGGAAGTTTTTTTCAGTGTTTGTTTTGTCGAGACAGGATCTGGCTCTGTTGTCCAGACTGGAGTGCGGTAGTGCGATCTCGGCTCACTGCAACCACCACCTCTCAGGTTCAAGTGATTCTCCTGCCTCAGCCTCCTGAGTAGCTGGGGTTATGGGCGCACACCGCCACGCCCAGCTAATTTTTGTATTTTTCGTAGAGATAAGGTTCCACCATGTTGGCCAAGCTGGTCTCAAACTCCTGACTCAGGTGATCCGCCTGTCTCGGCCTCCCAAAGTGCTGGCATTACAGGCATGAGCCACTTCGCCCAGCCAGGAAAACATTTTAAATGCATCTAACTCATAAAGATGAGCTGAATTTATCCATGTAAAATGCTTAGAGTGGTATTTGAGGAACAGCTGGGGCTCAGTGAGAGCCAACTGCATGATGACAATGCAGTGACCCTGTGAGCCATGGAGAGGGTGGCCTCTAGTGGCCAGCCCCGGGGCTCCGTCCTCAGCTCTCTGAAGGAAGTAAGAGAAATATTTGAATGAGGGTGTGATCAAAGAAGGCACAAAAGGGTCAGTCACCTCCGACTTTCCTTTTTTCCCGTCTCCTCCCAGACCCCTTCAATCACAATTGACCCCTTTCTCTTTCCTTAATTTATTAATTTATTGATTTATTTTATTTTTTTGAGACAGTCTCACTCTATAGCCCAGGCTGGAGTGCAATGGCACAATCTCAGCTCACTGCAACCTCTGCCTCCCAGGTTCAAGCGATTCTCCTGCCTCAGCCTCTGGAGTAGCTGGGATTACAGGTGTGAGCCACCACACCCAGCTAATTTTGTACTTTTAGTAGAGACGGAATGTCACCATGTTGACCAGGCTGGTCTTGAATTCCCGACCTCAGGTGATCCGCCCACCTGGGCCTCCCAAAGTGCTGGGATTACAAGTGTGAGCCACTGCAACCAGCCAAGTGCGCCCTTTCAAGTATCACCCTTGCACAATGATTACCACTCTCAAAATTCTCCCCCATCTCCACCCTTGGCCTCCTTCTCTTTCCTGTCTTTTTTTCTTTTTTTTTTTTTTTTACCCACATGGGAGTAGTTATCACAACCTTACTGTCTTTGTCCCCTTGGGCTGCTTTGACAAATACCATAGCCTTGGGGGCTGAAACAACACACCTTTGTTTCTCACAGTTCTAGAGGCTAGAAAGTCCCAGATCAGGGTGCCAGCATGGTTCTTGATGGAATTCTCTTCTTCTTTTTTTTTTTTTTCTTTTTTCTTTTTTTTAGACAGAGTTTTGCTCTTTTTGCCCAGACTGGAGTGCAATGGCGCGATCTCGGCTCACCACAACCTCTGCTTCCCAGGTTCAAGCAATTCTCCTGCCTCGGCCTCCCGAGTAACTGGGATTACAAGCGCCCACTACCTGGCTAATTTTTTGTATTTTTGGTAGAGACGCGGTTTCTCCATGTTGCTCAGGCTGGTCTCAAACTCCTGACCTCAAGTGATCTGCCTGCCTTGGCCTCCCAAAGCGTTAGGATTACAAGCGTGAGCCACCGCGCCCAGCTGGTTTTCTCTTCTTATATCCTCTCGCATGCCTTCCTTTCTTTCTTCTTTTATTTTTATTTTTTCTCACAGTCTCAATCGGTTGCCAGTACTGGAGTGCAGTGGCATGATCTCGGCTCACTGCAGCCTTGACATCCTGGTCTCGGTCGGGCTCGGTAGCTCATGCCTGTAATCCCAGCACTTTGGGAGGCCGAGGCAGGCGGATCACAAGGTCAGGAGATCAAGACCATCTGGCTAACATGGTGAAACTCCATCTCTACTAAAAATACAAAAAATTACCCGGGTGTGGTGGCAGGCACCTGTAGTAACAGCTACTCGGGAGGCCGAGGCAGGAGAATGGTGTGAACCTGGGAGGCGGAGCTTGCAGTGAGCTGAGATTGTGCCACTGCACTCCAGCCTGGGCAACAAAGGGAGACTCTGTGTCAAAAAAAAAAAAAAAAAAAAAGAAAAGACATCCTGATCTCAAGCAGATCCTCCCACCTCAGCCTCTTGAGTAGCTGGGACCACAGCCACATATCACCATGCGCTGCTCATTTTTGTATCTTTTTGCCATGTTGGCCAGGCTGGTCTCAAACTCCTGAGTGCAAGGGACCCTCCCACCTTGGCCTCCCAAAGTGCTTGTATTACAGGCATGAGCCACTGTGCCCAGTCCTCACATGCGTTTTTTTTGATGTAGGTACGTGGAGAGACAGAAGATCTCATGTATCTTCTTCTTTTTGTCAGGGCATTAATTCCATCACGAGGGCCCCACCCTCAAGATTGCATCCAACCCCAGTTCCCTTTTTTTTTTTTTTGAGACAGAGTCTCACTCTGTTGCCCAGGCTGGAGTATAGTGGTGCGATCTTGGCCCACTGCAACCTCGACCTCATGGATTCAAGTGATTCTCCTGCCTCAGCCTCCCAAGTAGCTGGGATTACAGGCATGTGCCACCACGCCCAGCTAATTTTTTGTATTTTTAGTAGAGACAGGTTTTGCCCTGTTGGCCAGGCTAATCTCGAACTCCTGACCTCAGGGAATCTGCCCTCCTCAGCCTCTCAAAGTGCTGGGATTACAGGCATGAACCACTGTGCCCAGCTGTATTATTTTCGAGACAAATCTCACTCTGTCACCCAGGCTGGAGTTCAGTGGTACAATCAGGACTCACAGCAGCCTTGACCTCCTGGCTCAAGTGATCCTGCCTGAGCCTCCTGAGTAGCTAGGACCATGGGCACACACAACCACATTCCTCTGGAGTTGACCAATTTGAGCCCAGTGTAGGGCCAGGGATCTTTGGCTTCCACGTTCAGTATAGACTCTGTAGCCAAAAGACTCAGGTAAGTGACCTCACCACTCTCTGCCTCAGTTCCTTTTTCTTTGAGAGATGGGGTCTCACGCTGTTGCCCAAGCTGAAGTGTGATGGTGCAATCATTGCTCCCTGCAGCCTCGAATCCCTGGGCACAAGTGATCCTCCTGCCTCAGCCTCTCAAAGTGTTAGGATTACAGGGGTGAGTCATGGTGACCGGCCACTGCCTTAGTTTCTTTATTTGCCAAATGGGGCAGGGATACTGCCTCCCTTCTAGTGTTTGGGAGAAGGATGAAATGATTATGCAAAATGCTTAGAACAGTGCCAGGCACATGGTCTCCACCACGTCAGTGTAAATTATGACTGTTCTTGTTATTCTTATTCCCACCACTGCCCTCCTGGGTCCAGCATCCATCATCACAGTCCCTGGTCTCTTAGCTGCTACGTCTGACCCCTTAAATCCACAAACAGCTGGAAGGACCTAGTTGGGTTATTTTTTGTTTCCTTTTTTTTTCTTTTTTTGAGACAGGGTCTTGCTGTGTTGCCCTGGCTGGTCTCCAACTCCTGAGCTCAAAGAATCCTCCGACTTCAGTTTCCCGAGTAGCTGGGATTCCAGGTACACACCACCACACTCAGCTTAGAAAGATTTTTTTATAAACAAATTCCGTCATGCCAAAAAAAACCTCAGAAGAGTCCGGGGGCTGTGGCTCACACCTGTAATCCCAGCACTTTGGGAGGCCGAGGCGGGCGGATCACTTGAGGTCAGGAATTCGAGACCAGCCTAGACAACGTGATGAAACCCTGTCTCTACTAAAAAATACATAAATTAGCCAGGTGTAGTGGCTACCTGTAGTACCAGCTATTTGGGGGGCTAAGGCAGTAGAATTGCTTGAGCCCAGGAGGTGGAGGTTGCAATGAGCTGAGATTGCTCCACTGCACTCCAGCCTGGGCAATGGGATTGAGACTCCTTTAAAAAAAAAACCAAAAAACCCAAAAACAAACAGACCAAAAAAAGGAAAAAAAAAAGCCCGAAAACTGGAGAAGTACAATCCAGTAGAAAAATAACACGAAATATAATTTTCAATATTCTACTGGCCACATTTTTTAAAAGTAAAAAGAAACAGGTGATATCAATTTTAATAATTCTTTTCATGTATCCCAATGCATCCAAAACGTTATCATCTCAACATGTAGTGAAACAGAGACAAGGTCTCTGTCGCCCAGGCTGGAGTGCAGTGGGGTGATCATGGCTTACTTCAGCCTCAACCTCTTGGGCTCCAGGATCCTCTCTCTTCAGCCTCCTGTGTAGCTAGCACTACAGGCACGTGCTGTCATGCTAGGTTAATGTGTTTTGTTTTTTTCTTTTTTTTGAGACGGAGTCTCGCTCTGTCGCCCAGGCTGGAGTGCAGTGGCTGGATCTCAGCTCACTGCAAGCTCTGCCTCCTGGGTTTACGCCATTCTCCTGCCTCAGCCTCCCGAGTAGCTGGGACTACAGGCGCCCGCCACCTCGCCTGGCTAATTTTTTGTATTTTTTAGTAGAGATGGGGTTTCACCGGGTTAGCCAGGATGGTCTCGATCTCCTGACCTTGTGATCCGCCCGTCTCAGCCTCCCAAAGTGCTGGGATTACAGGCTTGAGCCACCGCGCCC